TATATATATATATATATATATATATATATATATATATATACGGTTTAGTGTTCGATATTTATGTAAAAATAGATCAGAAACGACATATTAGTGGAGCACAAGCGAGAAAGCGTGCAATTGATAAAAAAGAAAAAGAAGTGATTTTACTTAGTAAAATACCTAGGTTAAATAATTTTTTTAAACAAATAAATAACATTACCCTTAGTTGTGTTGAAGATAATAAACTAGAATCTTCAAATGATATAACTATTAATAATAATTGTTCTACTACTTCTACTACTATTCAATGTACTTCTTCTTAAGATCAATCAGTTGTTGATGTAAATGAGGAAACAGAAAAATCTGAGCTAAATGTCATTTCTAATCCTCTTACGCAGAATAATACAAATAATTTTAAAATTTCAGCAGATTGGACAAATAGTAATATATGTCGTAATTATATTACAAAATTTGAATATGATCAGAATATTGATGCAAATTTTACCTCATCAAAACGAACTTATTCTGATTATGAGCGTTATTGTAGTAAATCAATCTTTACAAAAAATCAAAAAAAACGGAGAAAATGTTTCACGGAAATAGCTTGTTTATTCATTTCTAAATTTGTATTATTTTGTGCTCCATGCAAATTATTTGGATGCAGTACTCAACTAGGAGATGCTGGATTTAATGATTGGAAAAATGACCATTTAGTTATTTCCAGGCACGAAAATTCTTTGGCACATAAAAATAATACATTAAGTTTTATTACATTACAAAGTGATGTAAGTAAAATTGACACTCAATTGGCAACGCAAGTGACTGGTGAAATGAATTACTGGAAAGCTGTTTTTCATCGAGTTGTTGAAGAAATTAAATTTCTCGGTGCAAAAGGTTTATCATTTAGAGGTGATAATGGACAGTTTAACAAAATTAACAATGGGAACTTTTTGAGAACGTTAGAGTTACTTGCTAAACTTGACCCTTTTATTGCTCAACATATAGAAAAGTATGGGAATCACATGTACATATTGATGTACATATTAATGTGGCTATTAAACCTAAAGTAAAGTTTTATTATTTATTCAACTATCGAGCAGAGAAATGTGTACAATATTTTTTTTTAATTTGGGGCACCAAATTTTTTACAGTCTATGGGCACTATAGATCTTAATCCGGGCCTGGGTGAACTCCATCTACTCCTGTACATTTATTTGGATTTAGTGACTTAAGGATTATAAAAAATGTGTCCAGTGAAAATGTTGGGTCATTACAAATAAAATTTGTCCAATTTTTAAAGAACGGTATATTGTCACTAATTTCATCGGTGAAAACAGAGCTAAAGTAGTTACTTAAGGAATGTGTTACTGATAAATAATTTGTTTCAAGTTTGTCTTTTAATGCGTTAATTCTGTCCTCAACTTTTGATTATTAGTTTATATATGCATAAACTGCTTTTTGGTTTTTTTAATGTTTAAGGCGATGGTTTTTTCATATAATTTAACTTTTTTCTTAATTTCTTTTTTTTCTTTGTTTTTTATTGATTTGCATTCCAATATATTTCCTTTGTTTAAAAAACGGTTATGTAAATATTTTCTCCAGAGGTTTCTTTTCTTTCTAATTAACTTTTTTAAGTTAGAGTTCATCTAAAGCGCTTTTGTTTCAAAAAATCCTTTTGTAGTTGTTAAAATAAAATATGCAACCCTGTTTTTGTATATATCGACTAATTTGTTGTATGAAGCATTAAGATCTAAATTTTTGAATTCAAGATGACAGTCGTAGCGGAAAAGCCATTTTAATTGCTGTATTTGTACCGTTACTAATTTTTTTACTGTTTCCTTTTTTTTTTAATTATTTCTAAAGCAATACAAAAACTTTAGGATCTGATCACCATGACTAAGAGCAACCAATTTATCAAAATGATTCAAATCAATTATTCTTTTGTTTGATTCTATTAATATTAGGTCAAGAACATTAGTGGATTTTAATTCATTAATTTGAAAAGTTGGTTTAATTACGTTTTGTGTTATAAAACAATCATTTAAGCATTTTAAGAACTTTTTAGCACAAATATCTAAATTACAAATAAATTCGCCGATATTTTCTTTATTCCATTTAATAGAAAAGTAGTTAAAATCTCCAGATATCAATAGTCCGGAATATTTACTTTTTATCAATAGATTGTAACTTCGTTTAAATGAACTTATTCATTTTAGATTAGGTTCATATTCAATTGTGCCTCGCTTATAAATGCATCCGCAAAGTATCTTTTTATTGCCAATATGCAACGATGTCCAAACTTGCTCTAAGTCGTCATCATTTAACATTTTATCTGAAACTAAAACTGATAACTTACTTAAAAAATTAAAAATTTAAAAAACTTTTTTTTTATGTTCTTCTTTGAGTCCATCAATAGTTATTTTAAAAAGATATTTAGAATTATTTAACTTAGTATAAAGTAAAAAAATTATAAACTCCAGTTTTATTTCCATTACAGACATTGAAGCCCTATATTGCTAAA